GTAATTGCCTCTGTGTCTGTACATGTACAGGCACTGGCCAACTTATACTATCAGTAAAATCCTGGGTCGCATGTACTTACCTTAACATTTTAAAAATAAAAAAAAAATAAAAAATTACTTAGAAAAAGTAAATAAATATGTTAAAAAATTTAATATTAAATTCTTGTGAAGTTGATCTGACCTTAATAGATATAACAAAAAATATTTAGCATATTAGTTTTTTATTTATATAAATTAATAAATATATTATTTTGGATAAGTTTTTATTAAATAATACCAAAGACAAATGTTAAAAATAATAAATATTAAATAAATAATCATTCTAATAATGAAGAATTCTTTTGAATAAATAATTTCAAAAATGAAAGTAAAAATATCAAATTTCTTAATATTGCTTACTATTAATAGACCAAAACAAATAATTGCAACAAGAATTAAATAAAAAAAACATATTTTATTTAATAATTTAACTCTTTCTGCTGATCTTTTTTTTTAAAACATGGCTAAAGTAAATACACTAAGAAAACACAAAACCAGTGCAACAAACTATATTGAGACCTCTAAGAAAAAAGACTCAGTACACAAAACACAAATACTTTGTCTTAGCAATAACATAAGCAAAGTCTTGGTAAACAAAACTTTTTTTGGCTTTAAAAAATTTTGAACAAATTTTTGGAAAAATTGAAAAAGTATACTAGACTTAAAAAACAACAACAGAGCACATGACCAGCTATCAATATAAACAACAACAAACAATAGTGCATTATGTTAAATAACAAACAACTATATTAGAAAATATAGGTAAGTACAAGCACAGCTATTAAATAGATGGATGAGCAACAAAAAAGTCTAGAAATAGAAGTACAAACAAGAATAGGATTGCCATTGAACACAGATTTAATTCAACATATTAGAGGGTTCGGAGATAGAAACCATAAACATATAGATAGCAAGATACTAGATAAGATTTTGTCAAAACATATTAGAAATCCAGATAACCTAGAATATATAGCAAAAGATCTAGTGGTTTACGATCTAAAAAATATTATAGTAAAGAATTTACTTCTTTATGGCTAAATTCTTAAAGTGCTTAGAATAGCTAAAGTGTGCATGATACCACATAATATTATTGAAGAATGGGCAACAAAGCTATTAGCAATAGAAGTGAACCTAGGCTCTTTCAATCCTCAAATGAATTTTAATAAGGAAGAAACAATTAAAAAAAAAACAAAAACAGAGAAAACTGAAGAGGTTAAAGAAGCAGAAAAGAAAAAAATTGCCATGCCAGAAAAAGAAGAAAGAATCCAAGAACAAGCAAGTAAAAAAGAAGAGATAAACCAAGATCTAAAGAGAGTTATAAAACAAATAAAAGAACTAAGTATCTCAATTATATAACAACCAAGTTCTTGTAACTCTCAAGATACAGTTTCAAAAATGTCATCAGCAAGTACAACAAAAGAAAAGACCAATGATAAAGGAAAACAAACTGAAAAAGACCAAGAAATATCACGAGAACCTTTAGATAAAGGCAGAAACACTAGCAATAACAGTAGTATGAAGTGAACTATTTAAGAACAAAAAAAGAGACACTATATAAATACAACTAAAAAAAGCAATTTGGACTGAATAAGAAAGGAAAGAACTAAAACTCAAAAGAAGCTTATTAAAGGTCTTTTGCAAGAAAAAGTAGTTGAAAGAGTACAAGATATACTAGTCTCACTAAAAAAAACAAAAAACTTCCTAGCAAGCATTGTAGATATGATATGGAATAAGTTTTATGAAACAATATAGAAAGAAAGATGCAGCAAAACATGCAAATAGAAAAAAAGTCAAGACATCAATACAAAAAGAAAGAAAAACAAAATTCAAACTTCAGAACAACAAAAATAGAGCAGTAAATAAAGTAATAGTAAGATTAAGAAATAAAAAACTAGAAAAAAAAAGTGTACAAAGAAAAAAAAAAAAAGAAAAAAAAAGAAATAGAAAATTTATGAAAAAACACAATACAGAAACTAATTAATAGTAATAGGAGGCCTTACTAGAACAGCCTCAAAGGCTAGTATGAATAGCCCTCTAGCAATGAGTAACAACTTATGCTAGTGTGGCAGACTGCCTCTGGGCACTAGTACAGTAGCTGGAGAATGTCAAACCTAGAAATTAAGCTAATAGTTGTATAATTAAACATGCAATTCTCTTAATAAAGGATATTGGCAAGGCTGCCAAAGTTTAAAAAAAATATATATATATATATTGTATGATTTAGAAAAAAAAACCAATATCAACAGTAGGCTCTTTAACTTATTGTTCTACAATAGATAAATTAGTAATTTCATGCAGATCATTAGTTGCAAAATTTAAACAAAATAGGATAGATAATTTATTAGTAACTACTTTTAGCAAACTTTTTCCAGAATTAAATGATTAGTTATTACAATTATTATCTCTAGCAATGCATAAAAAAATTACTAATTCATTAATAAAAAATAAATAGTCTGAATTACTTGAATATATAATATGTAAGATTGATAATATAATTATTTCAAAAAGAATCATTGATACAGCATCTGAATGTAATGTAATGAATAAGGCACTAAACAATGCATTAGAATAAAATCTTGAAATAGCACCAAATTTTCTCTTATACATAATTTTTATCAAGTAACAATTAATTAGTGAATATAAAAATGTGCCAATAGCTATAAAACATAAAAATGAATGAGTTATAGAAATGGTAAATATTGTAATTATTGACAATGAAGAAACTAATTATCTTCTTTGCATAGGAACATCCTATATTCGAAAAGTTAAAGAACTTTCAGATTTAGATAAACATGAGTTCTGGATAACAGTTCATGATAAGTTTTATATTATTTCAACTTTTACTAAACCAACTGAAAATATTAGCATGAACTACTCTTCTGGTAAGATATCAAGCTGTTGTACTACTATAATACAGAATATTACTCAAGATACAGAAACTTCAGAACAATTGGAGGAATGGCATGCTTCTGAAAATTTTAATTAATCAAAGTTAAAAAAAATGTATAAATTGTAAAAGTATGACTATTCATATAAATAAACTTGAAAAGGTACTATTTACTAATATTTAAACCAGGGGTTGAGTCCCATAGCTTAGTTGTTAAGCTCTCATCCCCCCCACAGACAAGGTCAACGGTTTGAGTTTGGCTAGAGGTAAAATACTCTATAACCAAAAATGGAGCCTATAATCAGATGCGAAGTTCTGTAGAAGTTCAAGTAAAGGTACATATTTGATCTAAGGAATTCCCAGAAGGAAACTGGTATGGCAGAGTGCGAGCACTACTATAGTGAGAAATGTGAAAAATGTCGTCAACGTTTGTAGAAAGGATTGGCCTTACCTAATATGGAATCACCTCTGGCATCATAAATTAAAATAGGTGTAGTCATGGGATCTACTTTCATTCAGTAGAGTTTGCGTTGAGGGTAAAGTAGCCCTAAGGTCCATTATTAAAAAATTAAGTTGGTATTACAGAAAAAACATTGAAAATCAGAGATTTTAAATAGGAAACCCACAGGTGGGTTTCAGGTATGGCAATTAGTAGATAACCGGTAGGTGAAACCTTTAAATAGACAATGACTAAAGTTGTACAAGTGGCTAATTGTAGCCTCATTGATATGCAAAATGTAATACCCTCCTACAATATTTGTAGGTTGTAAGTCTTAATAAAAAAAATTACGAGCCATAGACATCACTTTTTAAACCTGAAAAAAAAAAACTAATATTTAAACCAATTCAGAATTTATTGGATATTATAATAATTTGCATAATCAGTATAAAGCAGAAATCAATTTTATACTTTTGGATTAGAAGTAGATAGTTTAGATATATTAGCATGAGTAAGCACTCTAACTTTTTTAACATCTTTTTGTGTTCTCTTATAGAATTCTAAAGAATCTTTAGTTTCTTGTGAAATTTTAAGTAGTATAGTTTCTTTTTTTGTTTCTAATATTTTATTTACCTTATCAATTAAACCTTTATTAACTGAAGATTAATCAGAATTATGAATAAGCTTGAATCTAGATTTTATATTTATTAGTACCTATAGCTAAAAGTTTCTTGTTATGAGAATCAGAAGTGGAGAATTATTTCAATCATCAAGACTTTGCTAAAAATGGTCTGTATGTTTCCATATTTCATAAACATGATGTGTACCAATATAAATTTTTTTTGCTATTTTCTTTAATGCATTTGGTACTTTCTTTCTTAATTCTCTAATTTCTTTAATATCAGATTCAGATAAACAAGTCACATTAGAGCAATAAAATTTTTAATAAATATAAGTAATCATCTTAAGATTGATATATTAGAAAAAAAGTATTAATATTTTTTCAAAATGTATTGATTACAATATATAATATACTTTAATATATATTAATATGTATTGATTCCTAATATTGATAAGTATTGATACATATTGTTAGAATATTAATACTTATAGATAAATATTGATATATATTGATAAATATTGATAGATATTGTTACAACTTAATATCTATAGATAAGTATTAATAGATATTGTTACAACATTAATACCTATAGATAAGTGTTGATATATATTGTTTCTTTTTTTAAATAAGAATTGGTAAATATTAATACATATTGAGTCAAATAATTATGACCAATATACATACATTATAAAACATCAACTCAAAAAAATATCAACTTGAAAGTACTAGAGAAGTAAAACTTAAAGAAGCTTTACATAATAGTTGTAAGACCAATTCTGAACTTATTAAAGATTTAAAAAACTACCAGAAGGTATGTTCAGAGTTTAGTAAAAATATTAAACAAAATAAAATATAATTGCAACATAATCTAAATCAAACCTGTAAAGATAAAGAGAAACTTACTGAGTATGCTTATCAGCTTATAGATAAGATTAAGTGATTGAGCTTAGAGTTAGATACTTTAATATCTCAAATTAACCAATTACAGATTTTTAATGCTGAATATGAAGCCAAGAATATTATTCAATTAAGGAAAATAAAATCTTTTTAGTCTATAAACAGGTTAGTTGAAAATAGGTTAGCTTTAGCTTAAGAAGATATATTGACAATTCAAAAAAACTTATCAAAAAAAGAATTTGAGAACTTGTTTCTTAAATCTAAAATATCTGAATTAGAAAATATAAAGAATAAATTGGTATTGAAAATTAATAAGCTGGAGCATCTAAAATCAAAGGATATACCAAAACCTATAATTGGTGGAGATAATGAAAAAAATATATCAAATTCTAGTAATATATCTGTAAATAATGATCTTAGTCAATATTTAGTACCTAAAAAAGATATGAATCAAGATGAAAAAATTAAAGATAAAGACAAAGTCTTATTGCTTTGCAATAATATCCTGGCTTATACTGATAATTCTATATTTGAGTTACTAAAAGCTAATATCAAGACTGCCTTAAAGATAAGTGATAAAATCAATATTAGCAAATCTAACAAGAATAATATAATAGATGAATCAATAAAATTTGAAAATATAATCCTACACCTTGTATAATGAAAAAATAATATATTCTCTCTTATTAAATTACATTTTCAGATTTTAGTAGAAGAAATAAAAGCAATTTTCATTGTAACAGGTACTTTGATGTTACTACTATTGGCATATATCTTTCTTATCTTGTTAATTATTGTGGTTATATAGTTCATTATATTGAGACATACATGAAGATTAGATAGAAAAAGTGATTAGTTGCATAGTATGTGAGCTAAGTAGATGACCTATCTATTTGAACTTGAAGGTTATTTTTTAAAATATATTATCTTATTAACTATGTCTAATATTTTTATAGTTGTAAAGAAATATTATTACTATTATATACAAATTGCATTATTATATACTTCTTTATAATAGAAGAAATGAGATTTCATAATGGTCATAAATTTAAGAAATCAGATATTATCACTTTTGAATCAGAGCCTTCTAATATATATGATAAGAATGTAATAAAAGTTATAGTAGATGGCATTCATAAAGCCTATATAGCAAAAGACAAGAATGTATAAAGAATTTGATAAGATATTATTCAATTTATTAGGTAAATGCTCATGACAGAAAAAATTATAAACAATAAATGTCTTTAAATCTTAAATATTCTTAAATGGTTTGTAAAAGTTGTTACAATATACTACAAATATCAAGAGATAATAACTACAGGTATTAATTAACAAGTTATTTTGATATTATCAGCTAAACTAATATGACTAAAACTTGCTAGTCTCTATGTGACTGTTCCTAGCAAAGGTTTATTTCAACAAAAACAAATTGAAAAAGAGTCATCAGCTGGTCTTCGAATATCAATAATTACATAATGCCTTTTTTATTATTTCATAAACTTTTTTTGCTAGAGATTCATAATCATCATATATGTCTTTAAGGACATGTTTTATATTATCTAATATTTCAAACCCACAATATAATGAAATATATGTTGTATTTTCTCATATATTCTGATGAATTTCAAAGTAACATTAACTAACAAATATTGAACTAATATTATTATGTCTTCTAGATCTAAAGAATAGCATAATTTTTAATTGAATTAATAAAGATTTATTAGCAAGATTATCAAAAACTATAACTGTTTTTTGATCTGTATTTTTGAATTTTAAAATATCAGGCAATTTATCTGGAATAATTATTTTAAAATATACATTTTCATAATAAGCTGCTTGTTTATCCTTAATTATAAATTTATAAAAATATTGTATTGTTTTCCATAAGTACTTATCTTCATATAAAGCAACAACTAATAAATTATTACAAAGAATATACCTTTCTCCATAGTTTTTGTTTTTTAATATATTATCTTTCTTACTAAGCATAATTGAATAAATTATTAAATATTTATTTTCAAGAAATATATATACCAGCATTTTTGTTTTTTCAGATTTAGAAGTTTCTGCAACTACTAATCTAAATGAAAGAGTAGACAAGAAATCATATTTTTTTGATAATATAGATTTATTAGAATTACAAAAACTGTAATGTTTTATACTTAAAATAGAGATATAAGTATATTCTGATAAAATAAAAAATAAATTATGCTGATGTAAAAATCAAAATAAAAAATGTTACCAATCTTTAGATATTAGATATAAAAATCAAAGTAAAAAATGTTACTAGCCCTCAGAAATAATGAAATAAAGTCTAAAGTACCAGCCCTCAGAGATACCTCAAATAATTTTATTTTAAAGATATATATATATCTAAATAAGTTATATAAATAAATATGTATATTATACATTATTAACTTGTCATATTTCTTCTTGAAAAACCCATAATAGTTGATAATATTGAGCAAGTTCTGTTGTCTTAAGGCAGGTTTGCAATATCATTCAATAAATTAAATATAATAATTTAAGATAAAAGTTAAAAAAATCTAGTCTCAATGAGAAAATTATCATTAGAAGATGCTTATAGTATTGCTAAGTCTCATAGTAGAATATGTATTTCTACAGAATATAAAAATGCAAAAAGTTCATTAATATAATGTTCTAAAAATCTTACATAGACTGCTTTACTAAAAAAAGTTAAATATAATGGATTGTGGTGCCTATATTACACAGATCATGTAAAGCTTACTCTTGAAGATGCTATACAAATCATAATATCTAAATGTGATCAATGCCTTTTAACAGAGTATGTTAATAGTAAGAGTCCAATATTATGAAAATATCATCAAGACCATATTTAAAGTACTCTGTTTAAAAATATTAAATATTTAAGGATGTGGTATCCACATTGTGCAGGTATATTATTTTAAATTAAATATTCTATAAATGATGCATATAGAATTGCCAAAAGTTGAAATAGACAATGTCTTTCTAATAGTTACATTAATTTAATAATATCATTGCAATGAAGGTGCACTAAAAACCACAAATGGACCACTTTACTTGTTCAAATTATAAATAATAGATCATGGTACCTATATTGTGCAGAAAGTGCATATTCACAATTGAAGATGCTAAACAAGTAGCTCAAAGCAGAAATAGATATTGTTTTTCTAATAAATATATTAATAATAGCACAAAATTGCAATAGCATTGTGTTAAAGGTCATGAATAGTTTGCTTCATTTGCTAAAATCAAAAATAGTAGATCATAGTGTTTAAAATATTCTTATAAAAAACCTTACACTCTTAAATATATTAAGCAATATGCATTTAATAAGAATAGTAAATGCCTTTTTGAAAAATATATTAATTCCAATACTTCATTACTGTGGCAATGCATTAAAGACTTGAATGGACTGCTTGATTTAATAATATAAAAAATAGTTTTACATAATGTCCATATTGTTCTAACAAATACAAACATAAAGAATTATGCCATAAAATTGTATCAAAATAACTTGGTTTATTATTAAAGAATCACTAACCTAATTTCTTAAAAACACCAGAGCATAAATTGGGATTGCAACTTGATATTTCTTATTATAATTGCAATTTTGCTATAGAAGTACAGGAGCAATAGTATGAAAAATATTATGAATTCTTTCATAGAGAAGATCCTAATAATTTTATCAAATAGCAAGTACAGAATCAACTTAAGAAAGAATTGTATAAAGAAAACTGAATTGTTCTAAGGTATGTTTGGTTTTATGAAGACTCTTATATAGTTATCTCAGAGAATCTTTGAGAATTAGGTCTTATTAAATAAACTTAAAAAACTTTAATTACTTTTGTACGATTTACCAAACCAGTATATGCCCTGAATAATAAGTGAAATTTTATATACATAATACAATAGGATATGCATTAATTTTAGAATTAATATGGAACAATTGCCTAAATTGAGACAATAAATATGTATTTTATTATTTGATATTTAAACTCATATCATATCACTATCTAATGGTTAATTATATATATAATGCTAAAATATCAAAAATGGTTCCTATCACTATGTTATATAACAAGACTATATCCTTTTCTGCCTAAGCCTTATACAATGTGTCTGCATATTCTTTCTGATCAAGTTGTTGAAAAACAAGAAGTAAAAAACTATCATGAGCAAGATAAAGTGTCATGAGTGAACATCCAATATGTCTATTATCATCATAGAATGGATGTATATGAAAGAAGAATAAAAGTATATGACATGCATTCATAAGAAAGTGGATTTGATATAGTTTGTGATAATTAACATTATTGCTAGTGACTGTCTTGTTGTAAAATTGTACAAACCTTTCTGTCAACATAGGTACTTCTTCTTTATACTACAGGAAACACAAATTGAGCTATAACTGAAACTTGATGAGCAGAGATTAATAAACTAAAACTTACTAGATAAATAGTCAAATAATAACCTACTGCCTGCATTGACACAATTTGAAACATTCCTGCTTGCTGAATTTTGTCTTATAAATTAGCTCTTTTCTGTAGAGTATCTTTCAAAAAAGTATAATAGATCTTCTTTATATTGTCAATACTTAATTCTTGTTTTGGCTTTAGCAAGGTATTGTATAAGTAATAGATCACAAGCAGGTGGTTACAGATTTTGACAACTTTAATTTCTTTTTCAGGTTTATCAAAAAGAGACTTTGGCTCAAATAGTTGTGCTTTGTCATGTTGCAAATCATCAATGTTATAGTCTTGGTTTATTTTTTCCTAAATAATTTGTGCTTTTGCACTTCCTAGTAAATTTCCCTCAATAATGCAACTTTGATGCAAAAAACCTACAATCATATGTTGAAGAATATCTTTAGTCAGAATCTTAATAATATCTTTGATAACAGATATATTATTTAAAAAACCAGAATTTTTTATATAAAAGTCTATTAAGAAAGTAAAAAAAATTTAATAATTGTCATTCCAGGCAAAAAGTTACACAAACATTAAAAATTTACTGTTTGTACCATAATCCTGTACACTTCATTCAAATGAGTAAAAATAGCTCTTACAAACCTTTTCAAATTTACCAAAATTTAAATATTCCTTGTTTACTTCTTTGATTTTGAGAAAGAAGAAGTATAAATCTATGAGAAAAGTAAGTATTATTTTCTAAATGCATGGTTTGAAATACACAGATTCAAAAGATACCTCTTTAGTAAAACATTTTTCTCTTCATGCTGAGCTATCGAAAAGTATAAACAGAGCTAAAAGCTGTTACAGAAATAGGTGAAAGCAGAACTTTTCAGATGAAGAATTAATTTTTTACATAGCATGATAAGTGAAAAAAATTTCAATTGCCCAAATAAAATATATATAATGCAAATTGAGTTACACTTTTTACATGACTTGATGATCAATTCCTAATTATCTCTAAATTATTAAATAATATATTGATGATGTGTAAAATACTTTAATGGTTATTAATAGTTATCTATATAAGAGTGAGTTTATTATATTGAATCTGGATAAATCTGAAGATAATGAATTTGTAATTCGGTTAAGGTTTGATACTCTATTAAATTTACAGAAAAAGATAGAGTTATAGCAAAATTGCAAGATAAAAAATGCATTACTAGCTGAGTTCATAAATTCTGAACCTAAAAAAGGACAAGATAATTGATAAGCATTTGTGAGATTAAAGCTTTATAGTCTTTAATTTTATTAAGACAGTACTTAATCTTTTAATAAGTAGAGTGAGATTTTAGATATTCATAGAACTTTTCTGTTTTTTGCAATTGTATCTTCTTTTCTTTAATCTCATATTGCAATTTCTTATTGGCTTTGACATGTTTTTTATATTCTATAGTAATTTCTCACATAAATTTAACAAAAGTTTTATTATTATATTCTAGTAATAGCTGAAATAAAACATTAATCTCTTTCTTTACTCAATGATTGATTTTCTCTTTACTTGCAAAGCAAGGGCACTTATGTATCTGACCACATGTACAAATTGAAACAGTATCTTAAGTTTAGGATTCTTGATTAATCATGACTATATTATATGATAAATTTTTAAGTAGTGATAAATTTCTATTCTAATATTTTAACTTTTTTTGATATCTATTTATCTCATGTCTTAAAAATGACTCGACCAATAGATTCACTATGCTGGCTTTATTTTCTGTTATTGAATTTCACTTGTAAGAGACTAAGTGAGTTCAAGCTTCATATACTAGTGAAGGTGATAATTGGTAAGTCAGATCTAAATATGCTTTATTGAATTTTATAGTATATATATATTGAAAAACTTTGATATTGTATTTTATAGTGTATAAAAAATTGGAATCTTTTATGAAAAATATGAAATATATATTAAGAAAAAATACTATATGTCTTGACATTAGCTTTGCTATTAATGTTAGATAAATCAAATAATAATATGATAAGTTAAATAGATATATATATTATAATAAGTTATGCATTATTAATTTGATGCATTTCTTCTTGAATTCTCTATAATAATTTATAATATTTAACTAATTGTGTAGCACAAAGACCAGATGAACAATAATATCATTCAATAAATTTTCTTTGTATAATTATACATACTCGATTTTTCTTTGCTATATCTTGAATATGTTTAACTCTTTTGATAAGATTTTCTATTTATAATTCATATTAATGAATAGCTAATTTTGCAAAATAATTATGTTCAACTTTTGGTTTTTGTTTAAGTTCTATATACTTTTTAAAACTTATTACACAATGTTTATTTCTAGTACAATTTGTACGTTAATGTTTTCCTATCTTATAATTGAGACATGATTTATATCCTACTCTTTTATCGACATAAACAAACTGATCATAGCTATAATATATAGCAATGTTTATTTCAATATAAAATCTATTGTTATATCCTTCTAAAAGTTCATACTTTCTTGCAATAAGATATCATTTCTTGGTCATGTAAATCTGTGAACTGGGATAACTGGAAGCCCACTTGGGAAGACCCAAGTAGAGAGATAACACAGATCTTTGACAGTACTACTGTAAAGGCTAGACCTAGGAAATGAATACCAATATGGAAAGAATCGGGTGAGCAAGAACCTTAGGTAAGGGGTACCACCAACTAGGCTGCCGGAAGACTCGAACCAGAAGAAAAGGACCTTGGGGGGCAGACCCTGAAGTACCAGAGACAGGTCATAGTCCTACTGGGCTATCTGGATTGGGAGTCTAAGGTCGGAAACAGGAGTATACTAAAGTACTAAGAATATGCTGTAAAGTCAGTGCTAGGGTCTGAGTGAACTCTGCAAAAGCAAGCCCTGTTAACAAGATACTAAACATGGGTAGTTAGTTAGCAGGAGGGCCTCCTGGAGCCCTACAGTCAGGTGA